GGGGGGGTGCAAAAGGGTTAAAAGGATCGTGGTAAGCCCTTACTAGAAGAGAAAAAAAGCGTGAGCGATGGAATGGTGGTGGTTGGCCCCCCCCTGGTCTGGGGTTGGCCTCTTCCCACGTTATAGTGCTGGTTTGGCCCCCCTCCACACACACACACACACACACATACATACATACACCCCCCCTTTTTTTCTCGGCTCCGTATAGTCGGTTTGCGACTCTACTTAAAAGCTAGTAGTGTGGGCTTTTTTCTTTGTTTTCAGCCTTACTGCCGGGGCCTCTTCTTCCTTCCCGCCGCTTGTTTTCTCTTGAAGCAGTCTCTTGTTTTTTTTTGGACAGGGCTACTTAGAGTAGTAAGGCGTGGTCACGGCATATGGCTTTTTTGGCGTTTGGACTAAACGATTGTTTTTTTTCCGCGCGCGTAATATAAACTTGATGGGTCCTTTTTGAAAGACGGCGCGCTTGCCCTAGTTGGCGGCAAAGGGGCCTGGCGTTTGTGCTAATGACGCTGGTGCCTGTGGATTGTATGCATGTAATACTGCTAGTAGCCCACGAGGGCCGGCAATACAGAACGATTCCGCAAGGTTTCGGGTCACTGGCCGCTGCTGGGTCGGGTCATCACGTGCGGCGTAACTTAGAGTTTGGTTCGGCATTTGTGCCGGACATGGTCAACTTTTCCCTTTAGCCCTAGCCAATTTACGCTTTTTTTGCTCACAACGGGCTTGCTTCCCACCCCACCTCACGACCTCCATGCTGAACTGTCGTGCGTGCCTTTGGCGATGCATACAAGCGCTCGATGTCCCGACCACTAATGCGCACCGCCTGCGCCGCAATGTGAATCCACTTCTCGTAAATAGCCAGCAGCGGCTGCTGTCGACCCGCAATGTCGCACGCCAAGAAGACAAGACACTTGCTGAACTGGGCGAGGCCGGAGGACGCTCGAGAAATGGGGAAGATCACTTCAAGAAGTCGGCCTTTGCAGCAAAGCAAAAGAGAGCCGAGATCTTAGCATTGCGGCAATCGCATGCGCGCAGAGTCGACGAGACTCCCAATTTGGCAAAATTGGGCCGGCGCGACCCTCGCATGTCAGAGAGCGACTGGAATAGGAGGAAGAGAGAGTTGCGGCATCTACAGGACCCTCTGGATCTGGCGGCGTTTGTTAAGCAGGAACTGAGCAAGGACAGGGTAGAGGAGATGCTGCAGTTGGTGCGCATGGCCAGTCACTCGATGCAATGTATCGTCAGCTGGAACCATATCATTGATCACCTTCTGGCGAAGGAGCGGGTCAAGGATGCACTCAAAGTGTACAACGATGTGCGTCTTGTGAACATGAGCGGCGCGAGGCAATGCTGACTTTGAGCAGATGAAAAAACGAGCGCAATTCCCTGATTCCTATACGTATACAATCTTGCTCCGAGGCTTGTCCTTGAACGCACATACATCAGGTGTTCTTAGCAATGCCCTTTCCGTATACCACTCTCTCTCCGCGCCGAACTCGCGAGTCGAACCGTCTATTATACACACAAATGCCGCCTTAAAAGTTTGTGCGCGAGCAGGCGATATGGATGCACTATGGGGCGTTGCTGGGAAGATTGCTGAGAGTGGACCAGCCTCGGCCAACGCAATTACCTACATTACCATCATCAACGCCATACGACAGAGTTTGTTGATAAATGCACCGAAAGGGGAGAGTGAAGAGGAAACTGCGGCCAGGAAAGAGCGTGGTATCATAGAAGCACGGCGTATGTGGGAGGATATCATTGGGAGGTGGAGAAATGCAGATCTGGTTATTGACGAGGAACTGGTTTGTGCAATGGGAAGGCTTCTGCTAGTAGGCAGCCGGCCGCGAGACTGGGATGATGTGCTTTCCCTGGTGGAACAGACCATGGATATCCCACGACTTGTACCTCGACTGGGCACTGCGGACCGGCGGAAAGCAGGTTTCCCACACTTACGAGCCCCGAACGTACTGCCACAGTACCGCGTCGACGATGAGCACCTTTCGCCAGACAACATTCCTGCGCGTGGAGACGAATTCCTTCCTCTGAAACCCAAGGGCGCCCTGCCACATTCTCTTGCATTTGTTCGACCAGGCAACAATACCCTCTCCATCATTCAGGAAGCTTGCCAGAAGATTGTTGCGAATAAGGCCGCACAAGAGTATTGGGATCTTTTGACCGACCCCAGGACCTACAAGATCGTGCCGGATCGCAACAATCTACACATGCGCTTGCGAAACCTTCGCCTGAATCGTGCTTCTGCTGATGCCGTTCAACTGTTACAAGAAGATATGATTGGAAAGAATATCGCGCCTCGACCTGGCACGTTTAGGATCGCTATGAGTACTTGTGTCCGCGACAAGAACAACCATAACTCTCTCAAACATGCCGGTCGGATTCTGAATATGATGTTCAAGACCTTGGAGGATGCAGACCCGAAGACCATCACCATGTATGCGGAGCTCGCAACCAGTTTTCCTCTTGCTAAGGGCTCGGATTTGGTGAACGCACTTACTATTCTCGATCCTATCGCCAAGAACATTCGCCTTCAGTTGGGCGTTGGTGGGAGAGAAAGGAGATACAGGAGGGTTGCGGGCCCCCAGTATTTAGAAGGCGAGCAGAGGCAAGATGCAATCACAGCATTGAGGAAGATCCATGGTGTGTACGACAAGTTGCTATTTAGCAACCTGATTGCCGAGGAGATGAAGGCTCCGTTCAAGGCTGAGCGAGCACGGCTGTCTGCTTTTATTCAGAGGATATTGTTCCAGGATGGGCATTCCAGATCGAAGGGGAATGTCGAGGAAACGACCCCATCTGAAGAAGAGGATTCACGTGAGAATCTCCAGGGAGAGTCAGATCAAGGAGAGTTTCAAGAAGGAGAGAAAGAAGATAGCAGACCGGAGTGGAAGAAGCAATGGATGGGGCAAATAGAGAGGCCGGTGCGGCGAAAGATGAGAGTCTCGTCGGCTACGACGGACATGTAAGATATGCTGCTTATGAGGTTTTTTGAAACGACGGTATGATCCAAAAAGTACTTGTACAATATTACCATATTACTCTTCATGGTTACATATACTTGGTATCCAGCAAGTGGTTTAGTATGTTGTGAAGATTGTATCGTACTCGTGATGGCACGTGCATGTCCCAAAACTACTCGAACCTCCGCGGCTTTGGCCGCAACTCTCGGCCTCTCTCAAGACTTACAGCATATTATTCCACAACAATAACACAACCACTACCACCCAGATACTCAGCGCATAACCAACCACCATGGGTAACGACGGCGGATCTATCCCCAAACGGCGTGAGCTCGTCAAAGAAGCCGCAAAAGCCCTAACAACCGCACAAATCAAAGAGGCGCAAACCGAACAACAAGAATACGCCTGGTCCACCGACCCTCTCACCCGCAAACCGCTCGCCCGCCCCGTGGTATCCGACGCAGCCGGTGTTCTCTACAACAAAGACTCCATCATCGAGTACCTCCTAAAAGACGACAGCGATGTCGAAAAAGCTGAGATGAAGAAGATTGGCGGCGTCAAGGACTCCGAGCTAGGCACATTCGGCGACAGAGTCAAGGGCCTCAAAGACGTCGTCGAAGTCAAGTTCGAAATCGACACGGCAGCGGAATCCGGCGCGGGCGAAAAGTGGAAGTGCCCGATTACTGGGGAGCGACTGGGCGTGGGTAGTAAAGCCGTGTACATAGTACCCTGTGGCCACGCCTTTGCCGGAAGCGTCATGAAGGAGATATCCGAGAAGGCATGTTTGACCGTAAGTTTCACCCACCAACATGAGTAACTCTGACACGAAACTAATCCTTTTGCGCCTTGTCTCAGTGCAACGAACCCTACGCCGAAAACGACGTCGTACCCATCCTCCCCATCCTCCCCACCGACATCGCGCGCCTGAACCTACGCTTGAAAACGCTACGTGAAAAAGGTCTCACGCATGCGCTGAAGAAAGCGCCCGGTAGCAAGAAAAAGCGCAAGCACGCCGCTGCTGCTGATGGTCCTACCTCTGATACTCTACCCACCACGACCTCCACCAAACCCTCTTCTTCTTCTTCCTCCGACGAAGATAAAAAAATCGCCCCCAAGGAAAACACCACTACGACAACTAAACCTGTGTCTGCGACAAGCGATGGAATCAAAAATAGTGCTACAGCTTCGCTGACGAGAAAGGTGCTCGCAGAGCAGGAAGAAAGGAATAAGCGGCGCAAGATGGCACAGAATGAGAATGTGAATAGTTTGTTTAGCAAGAAGGAACATAAGGCTGCGGCGGGGAATAGTGCGGATTTTATGACGAGGGGATTTAGTATTGGGAAGAAGTGAGGGTTTGTGGCATTTCATTATTTTTTTTGTTTAGTGTGTGTGTGTTATGGGTGTGGAAAAGTTGGGAAAGGAGGGGGTTTAGCAGCAAGGGAAGAAGACATTTATTCGTCGAGGAATTTGCAAGGTACAAGATTTTAAGAGTAATGATACCCTGTTGTATTTTCAATATTACCAGTGGTTCTTGAGCTGGTGTGTGTGTGTGTGTGTGTGTGTGTGTGTGGAAGGAGTCGAGTGAATTATGTCTATAGACATTGGTGAGGTTGCATCTAGTACATGTGTACATGAAATCTATATTCCCCATATCCATTCCCTGCATTGATAGTTAGGTAAACATGACATCGTGATCCCATTCATCAATCATAGCCACAGGCTAGACATGTATCTCTCAGATCCCGTGACGCCTACACGTTCGACCCACCGAAACAACAGTACCGAAACCCATAAGACACACAGTGTCGTCCTCTGAATGAAACTGTTCTTACACTACAACACATCAACTGTGTTCAAGCCCTTCCTCAACACCTAAGCTTCTACAGCACTCTTTGGTGCCTCCTCAGGCTTCATATCAGATGGAGCGGGCTCCTCAACAATCTCATCAAAGAGCCCTCCCTCAGGTTCTCTCTCTGTACCCATAACCCTGAGGATCCTCCACGCCCTACGGAACTCATCCCGGATAGCCACGATACCTCGATGCGTCACCGTCCTCGCGACGTTGTGGTCAGTCTCAAACGGATCCTCGATAGCAAAAAGGTATCGATTCGTAACCTTTTTCTCAGCTGTAATCTTCGTCGTTGCGCTAACCCAGCCTTTGCTCTGCTTCGTCACGATACCGCCGGGCGTGCGGAGCGAAAGGACTTCGTTTGTCCAGTGGAACTGAGGTGGTCTCGGGTATCCATAACCAGATAGCGCAGCAAAGTACTGGAAGAAGCCGCGGAGAAGGGCGCCGATTGATTGCGTGTTTTGTGTTAGACGGCCTTCTTGTGCTGCTTTGATGATTTCTTCTTCGTTGCGCCAGAAACGAACTTCGTAGCCGGAGATTTTGGTGTTTTTGAAATATTGTTCTAGAGCAGCCGCATCGATGGGTAGTGGAACGGCGTGTTGGAGGTTCGGACATACGGGTGGTGAGGCGATGTTGACGAGGTAGTGTAGGACCATGAGAACCCATCCGTACGAGGAAAGGGTACCAGAATAGGCGCTATTGACTTTGCGGCGCTTGGCCCAGGATTTGACGAAGAGAACTATGGGGCGTACGCGAGGATCGGTTAGAGAGTAGCACCGGAGCATGTGGGTATTGTGGATGCCGAGTGGATTTGCAAAGTTGATGTCGCATTGGATACCGCAACCATCCTTAGGGAAATCCAAGGGGCCGACTACCTTTTCCCGCGTCCAAGACTTATCGGAGCGTTGGTTTTGAACCTTTTTAGCTTTATTCTCAGCGCTGTCGTTGATTGGTTCATCTGGCTTGGCAGCTGTTTGTGAAGGTGTAGGCTCGGGGGACTCCGTCTCTTGAGCCTCGCGCAGCACTTGAGCTCTTTCTATCAACTCTCCCCAGTTGACCTTCCAGTTTGGATCAGAAGATACCGCCAAGTGGGCTGCGGCCTTTATCTCATCGTCAGAATCTTTGATTAGCTTTCGAATGGCTATCATCTCCTCATTATCAGAGGGTTCGAACAGCTTGCGAGCAGTAAGCATCAATTCATCATCAGACTGCTTCCATAGCTTTGATCGAGGCACTGAACCCTGTACAGGTGGTTCCTGTGGCTGATTCGAGGGAAACTTCTCCTCTTCAGGGAGTTGGTCCCACTTCCCACGTTCCTCAGTAAGAGCTGAGTACAGTTTTTCGGTAGGATGTTGGCAGATTTTCAAAATAGGCACACGTGTCCGCGTGAGGAGCCTGCCACCAAACTTCGCATCAAGCACTGCTCGTTCTAACAACCGCGGAATAGAGCGATCGATTTCAACTTCATGAGCTTTTGCAGGGTCCTTCCAATCTGGTATCACTGCGAGGTCCATGTCTGAGCCGGGGAGTCCAAAGCCAGATGCAAGACTGCCAAAGCCGACGAGAGAGATTGTTGCAATATCTCCTGAGTATTCCCTGGCGAGTGCTTCCTTCATAATCGTCTCCAACTGCAGTCTGAATTCTTCTTTGGACTCCAACTCAGACCTGGACATCTCAACCTTGGGGATCTCTTCTGCCGCAATCATATCTAGATGTTTGACCTGGGCTTGTGGGTTCTCCTGAGGTTGATTCATCTGTGTATGATGTGCATACGAACCTTGTGGACGAGCGTCTCCTCGTGGGCGCTGCATAACCCTTGGAGGGTATGCACGCGGGGTACCATCTGCATTCTGGTTCCAATGCTGATGATGTTGTTGTCCAAATGGCTTCGAGGCATGTGATTGGCTATCTGGGGCCAGACCATTTTGTGACACGTTGTAGGAATTTGTTAGGGGCTGCTGATGCCGTTGGTTGGGATAGTGTCCTCGTCCACCTCCCCTGGGTAGAGAACCATTCACAGAGGGGTTCGCGCGCCATCCTTGACTTTGACCCTGGTCTTGATTTGGGACAGAGTGATCATGATAATTACCATCTGCGCCATTGTGGAAGTTTCCACGCCCTCTGCCCCGGCCCCGGCCCCGGCCCCGTCCTCGCCCACGACCGCGACCTGGTTGAATATCTTGAGTGACTTGCCCAGACATGCTCACATTACTAAGTATCATGTTGCGCAATTGACTTTCCAGTCCAGTAGACTGCGATGAATTCGCCTGCTCCATTCTGTTGAGTTAGTCCAGTCGTTGCGGGTGACTCAAATAATGGCTGGATCTAATTCTTGAGCGTTTGCTCGCGACGACAGATGTTTATTTCTGTCCAAAAGGCGAGAAGTGATCCGAGATGATTTTTAAGGGGGTGATGGTGTGCTCGTATGTCTTTGAAAGTAGCCGGTGACACAGCAGATCAACTCCCGCTTTGAATTTTCTTATGGCGGCGGTTGCCGTTCACCGTTTCAGGCACTCGACCCTCTGGCCAAAGCCACACTTTGGCTCGATGGGTGCCTAGAGTGGAGTGAGAAGTCGATGTCTTTCTTGGTGATCCACATGTGCCTAGGAGATTATGGTCCCGAGACTGTCACTGTCAGCTGGAGAAAGCGCAGACTGGGTGTTGCAATTGATGATAATTTTGGCGATTGCTAGTCATGGTGTTCACTGTATGTCTGGGAGGGCGGAGGCAGGGCTTCACAGTGAGCGATGGGCTTGGCGCGCTAAACGACTAGCGTGGAGCTGTGACGTTCCAACTGCGGTTCGGCCTTGAAGCACGACGCTCCTTGGGACAAAGGCAACTTCGTCTCCGGTCAGTCTTTATCTGCCCACCTGCTGCCTTCATTCTTGTCCTCATCCTCAGAACCACAATTTGATAATGAACGGCGCAATGAATGGAAGCCAGCCGCCTACGGCAGCGCCCGTCGCGCCCGTCGCCTCGAATGGCCAACAGCCGTCGCAGCAACCGCAGCCACCGCAGCAGCAGATGCCTGTTCGTCGCCGTCGCCCGCGCCCCCAGGCTGATGTCCTGCGAAAGCCCCGGCGCCCGTTGCAGAACATCACCAAGCCCATGGTGTCTTTGTCGCAGATGAATGAGGCCAGGAAGCCCCCGCCAGGTCCGGCCGCTGATGGCACTCATTCCAAAGACGCGCTGCGCCAGGAGTATCTTGATCAAGGCGCCACCGTCTTTCCACTCATCGTGAGCCGCAAGGATCTGAAAGAGTTGCGACACCACGTTATGCGCCTGCAGAGCAAGAGCCATGTTGATATTACGGATGAGAAGCAGTTCACTCCGCCCATCAAGCTCCACCGTCGAGATCCCCGCGCGCCTCCCAGTGGTATCGGATCACACTACGAAGAGGAGGATACAAAGGAGGATTTGGAGGAGATAAAGGAGCGCGAGCGCATTGAGCAGCAGAAGGAAGAGCGACGTAAAGTACGCGAGGAGAATCAGGCCAAGATCGCGCCTACTGGCATGAAGAAACCTCCTGCCTTCCACAAGAAGACGGAGCAGAAGTACCGACCTGACGACACCCCAGAAGCAAAGAAGCGGCAGCTGCTACGCTACGAAGAGACATTGCCCTGGCATTTGGAGGATTACGAGAACAAGCAGACATGGGTAGGTACCTACGAATCGGAGCTGTCAGAGACACACGTCATGCTCTCAGCCACACATCCTGGTGACCCAAATACGGCCATACAAATGGCGCCTATGGAGCGCTGGTACAGATTCAATGTCAAGGGCAAGATTAAGCCGACTAGCGATGATGTGGACAAAATCTTGGCCAAGGTCGAGAGTGGCGGACCCAGATTTTTTGCAGAGCTTGAGAGACGTCAAGCGCAGCGTATGAAGGCTGAAGATGAGGCAAGGATGTTCAGCGGAGTGCGCACGCGTGTGGGCGGTGGTGCTGATGATGAGGGCCGGATCAAGCGGGAGCGTTTTGACGATGATACAATTGGCTTTGTCAAACGGGAAGCTGATGCCGATGATATTGACTTCAACCTTGAAGAAGACTTTGCAGACGATGAAGAAGGACTCAATGGTCTCTTTGAGGGTGAAGAGCAAGATGTCAAGGAAGCAGCAGAGAAGCTAAAGCGTGACCAGCTGCAAGCAGCCCTTTGGGATCGTCCTGACGAGCAACTGATAGCGCAAAAGGAGGAAGAAGAGCGCAGGGCTGCTGAGGAGACGAGAGCCATGGAGAAGATTACGCGCAAGACGTTAGCCAAGCGCGAGAAACAATATGACTATCTCGACAGCGACCCTGAGAATCCATACCTTACCGAGAGCGAGTCGGATACAGACTCTGAGACGGAGCGACAACAAGCAAAGGAAGAGGCAGAGAAGAAGGCAGCTGAGCAGAACGGCAAAGCCCCAGAAGCTGGCAATGTCCCGTCTGGCGCATCCACCAAGGGCTCCAACACTCCCTCAGGCAATCACAAGCCCGGGGAATCTAAGAGCAAAAAGCGACCTGGTTCTCCCAATCTTTCCGAAGCTAGTGGCAATGAATCGTCGCGTAAGAAGCACAAGAAGAAGCACCACGAAAAGCTGGCTGACGGATCTCGGAAATCTACTCTTGGCAATCTCAAGGGCGCAGGCTCTGGTAGTGATAGCGAGATGACCGATGCCGGCAAGAAGCGGAAGAAGGAGAAGAAGGAAAAGAACCGCATCATGCTCGGTGGATCGCCCGCCGGTACTCCTGGTGCTAGTCGCGCAGGCAGCCCCGCCGCAAACGGTAGCCGCGCAGGTAGTCCCTCTGCTGGCCCATCCAAACCCTCTCTGCCTTCCGCAAAGGAGATCTACGAATCCCTCCCACCTCAAGGCATGAACATCCAGAATCTCATCCTCAAGTTCAAGGGCCGCGTCGATAAGAGCAATACACAAGTTTTCATCAAACTCGTCAAGGCGGTTTCCCGCTTCGATAAGGCGAAGAGCTGGCTCACGCCCCTAGAGAAGCTGCCGTCTGACGAACACATCAATGCGTTTATGAACGCGGCGAATGCGCCCAAGCCCGCGTAGTGAAAAAGAAAAGGCAACGTTGCGATTAGAGGAGGAAAAGAGCTTTCTTTTTGTATCATAGCTTTTTACATTAGAATGCGCGATAGACGATGCGTTGGCGATATTTCTTCTCAGACTGAAATGCTTGGATGAAGCACATTATGGAAATGCAAAGTTCAAAAACACGAATCATCGTATACATCAGTTTTTATTAATCAAATTCTTAAATGCATTACTATCTACACTTCTTCCTTTCTCGCCGAATGTATCTCCTCGTCCTCTGTACTCACACCCGCTTCTGATGTAGTATTTCCCCCCCTCCCTTCCTCAGCAGTAAGCTCATCCATTACCTTTTCATTTGCGCCTGTTTTGTCGTCCACTGCTTCCACAGGCCCATGCAACGCCTTATCCTTCGTCTTCCCATCCGCACTATCCCTATCCTTCTTCCTCATACTCCACCCGCCACTCCACCCCACCCACCCGTCTTCGTACGGCCCCTTAGCCAACATAACGCATAGAGCAAGGCACACAAACCCAACGCTCAAACTCCCGCTCCCGATCCATCCCGTAGCCGCATAGACGTGATTCCCCGCGGCAGTCCCGATTAGCTGCCCACAAAATGTGGCAACCATGAACGCCGTATTAACGCCATTCCGGCGCTTCGGCTCAACGCTGTAGATCGCGGAGCGATTCGCAATCTGCGCGGTCTGATTCCCGAAATCCATGAGGAGAGCTTGCAGCACGGGGCCGGCAACGGTAAATGTGCCGATATATGTGCCGAGGCACACGCCGACGAGCGAGCACGAGAGACCGAAGAAGACGGAAAAGTGCGGGACGAAGCGATCGGTGACTGTGCGGGCGTAGATGGGGGAGATGAGCATGCCGGCTATACCGATGAGGCCGAAGAGACCAATTGTAAGGGAGGAGTAGTGGAATGGTTTGCCGGCGAGTAGGAATGTTAGCGTTGTCCAGAAGGATGTAAAGGGTGCGCTGGTAAAGAGGCCTGTGAGACAAGCTTGCACGAGGACTGGGTGCTTGCGTGGCATCTTTACAATGTCGAATAGGATGCGAAAGTAGTTCATGCCGCGATTTGTAGCGGGATAATCTGGCATGAAGAGCCAGAGCAAGACGAAGATCGTGTATTGCAGGGCAAGTGCCATCCAGTAGACTGCGCGCCAGGTCGTGTAATTAGATATGGTACCGGAGAGTACACGGGCGACGAGCACGCCGAGCATCAGGCCAGATACGACGATTGAGAGGGCAGCAGCGCGGCGGGAGGGCGGCGCGAGGTCGCCGACTAGAGGGAGCATGAGTTGAGGGGTTACGGTTGTGATGGCTACGATGAAGGATATTGCGGTGAAGGTTCCCAGGTCGTTTGTTAAGCAGAGTATCAACCTGAATAGTTGTCGTTAATCAGCTTGAGGTAACATAAGGAACGTAGGGTCGTAGACGTACCACAATGTTGCTGTGAATGCTACTAAACCGCATACAAAAGGTCTTCTTGGAAGCAAGTCCCCCAACGGACATAGGAATAGTAGTCCCGTTGCGTATCCTGCTTGCATGACTGTGGGAATCTGCGCTACCTGTTCATACCGTACGCCAAAGTCTCTAGCGAGGAGATTGAGAATAGGATGGTTGTAGTAGAGGTTTGCGACTGTGAAGCCAGCGGCAAAGGCAAAAAGAACGTTCACTGATGTGTTGTCAGAACGTGGTCATGGCAGATGAGAAGTTATGTTCTGATTTGTACCATAACACAACTCTTTACCCTCATGCTGTTTGAGTGTGATTTCAAGAAAAGATAAAAAAGAGATAGACCAACGGTCATGCATGAACGCAGAAAAAAAACAACGTACTGCTCATAGAAAATTGCGGCGGCTTCTTAGGATCCCAACGGCAATTCGGCGGCGTCCAATTCAGAATTTCCCAGGCCTTTCTCCATGGCGATATTCTCAACTGCTCTTTTCCATTTTCAAAAGCATCTCCTTTCACTGTGCCCACACCGTCGCTTGCCCGTGACATAGAGTTTGATGTCGCCGGCATTGTCTGAGCTACGCCAATCCTATTGGTCGACGGTGCCATACTCCCCGCCCCGCCGTGTTGGTTCGGTGATTTATCCGATGACGAGCTTATTTTGGCGCACATGCCACAGCTTTTGCTTGTTCTGTATGCGCGCGAATTAGAGGTACTAATAGGCGAAATGTGATGAAGAAGAAAGAAGGTATCAAAGCGGAACAATTCCGAAAGCAGTTCGCGGGTTACTAATGCACCGTTAATCGATGACGGAATCCTCGGGAACCGCGTCGGGCATTGGTTTCAGCGAGCACAAGCACCTATTTGTATCTATGAAGAGTCCGGAGTTTAGAAGACCGTTGTTGCGATAGCCGGTATCGCGGCCAATCAAATAGAGGACGCTAAGGCACCGTGTCGACACAAGGGGACATGATCAGCAGGAATATGGTGCCTTTTTGGTATTCTACTTGTCATCGTACGCCTAGACAATGTCGATAATTTGCTCGTCCTCGTCTTCTTCGGCATTACCCATTTCTATCATCTTCCCACTACCACCAGCGCTAGCCATGTCTGGTATATCCTCCTCTTCACCCTCCTCTTTACGCATAATCACTTGAACTACGCGGTCGCATGCCTCGCGCACTTCCTCATCGTCTACGTGCAAGTGGCACTCCCGAACGATGGGATACACCTTGACACGTCTGAGGACATCTCTGCTTTCCTTGGTGGTACTCAGTAATAGCAGTGTCTCCAAATGAGTTTTGATGATCTGATTATCCTTTTCTCGTTCCTTGTCGGGCTCTAGCAGCTGTAATTCGTCGAGCATACCCTCTGTGTCTTCGTCTGCATACTCCTCTGGCCCCATGAGCGGGAGGAGGATGTAGGGTAGGAGGTTCGCGCCTATCGAAGGTGGCGGAAGATTTGGATCCGGCGATAGGTTCGATAGTAGGACTGGATGCGCTGGTACGAGGAATGCGACGTTCTTGATTGTCGAGGCGACACCAAGGCGTCGGATATGTGAGGCATGATCTGTAAACACCTGAATCTTGGTGATAGGAATGACGTTGTCATCGTGCTCTTGGGGCGAGGTTAGATACTCGCGTCCCTTGGGAAACTTGGCCAAGTCGGCGAAGAAATACGACAGGTAGTCGAAGTCTGCATTCTTGTTGTATGCGCCCTGTGCGCCCTTGACAAAGCAGTCCATAAGCTGGTCCATTGCCCAAGCAGACTTGGACAACTCCTTTGGGACGTCGCGCTTCAATTCCAGCACCCTTTGTAGAGAGTCGTCCTTGGCCATGTTGGCGAGTAGCATTGCGATTTCGTTCGCATTTGGTTCTTTGGCGTTCTACAACAGGTCAGTGACTAGTGTCTATGCTGACTGGACGGGGAACTGACATACGGTTATCCGCGACAGTAGGGTCTCAAGAAACTCGTCATCCTTTGCAAGTGCCTTTTGGACTTCTGCGTCGGCGGAGACGTTGATGAGGATGGTCAGTGCATTCTTCGCGATGGGCGCATAATCCTTGACAAGGAGCTTGAGATCCTTGATGGGCTCTAGTTGATTACGTTTCCAGAGGGTCGGGTTTGATTGCGAGTATCCGACAAGATGTTCGGCCGCTGCATGGTGTAAGCAGCGTCTCGTGGTGGGGTGGAGGGGCTGCTCTGACCAGTCTGTCTGATCTGCGTGTTGCCGTGGTGCAGGAATTCGACTAGCTAGACAAGATATGTTAGAATAGATACGAGCCAAGTCCTCGTGCGATCTTTGCTCACCTCTTCTAATTCTGACGGCATCTTGACTGTGACTGTGGCTTTTCTCTGCTGTCGTGAGCGATGACGAACACCCAACTTTTTCTCGCTTAGACACAGATTAAGGTTATCGATAGGCACTAGCGCACGCCTTGCACCTTCCCCTCCCTTTCCTCTCCCCTCACGTGTCATCAGTCGCCTGTGCATTCATCTAATCCCATATTGCCCCGACCTATTCTTAACCAGAAATGACCTGATTGTGCTACTAAACTATAATTTGTAGTGTCTTGGATGCTCGCAACAGCACACTACCCGGCCCGTTTGCGGACTGCACAGGCAGGGTGCCGTCACAAACTACCCCAAAAGCCAAGCGCTGCATTCACCAATGCGCAACTCCACATATGATGATCAGTTATCCGGAGACAGGTACCCTCTGCGGGATTTTGCGATAAGCTCCGCCGTTGTGTCTTGGTCTAACCCGGCCGCATGTTAGGGCGGCTGCGTGCTCTCCGACGGTGCATATAGGCTTGCTGGCCTTGCCGCCCACGACGAAGAGCTTGTACCGTCTCAGTACCATTTGCAGCTTCCGTGGCTGTTGCCCGTCGGTACTGCAGATACTATCGCGTTGAGAATTTACGTGTGAATCTGCATGTACCGGGCCACTTTCCTCAAAGCCTTTACACGTCTGAAAAGCAAGCAGGACAGCACATACATACATACACGCCCACAGTATGTCTCTCCGCATTCGGCCAAGGACAGCCAAAGTGCCGTTGGCAGGCAATCAAGAGCTCGAAATAGATCCCCGACTTGCAGCGGGCCGCCGGACTGGCCTCTTGTCACCTGCATAGGCTACCCATACTACGCAGGGTGGGCACACGTCGACAGCCAATCACAGTGTCATGCAGCCATGGTAAGATCTCGAGCTAGGGTGGTAAGGGGTGTAGCGAGTGGAAAGCGTTGGCGCTTAGCAGCAACAATCAGCCAACCACCCAAAATATAACCGCCGCTCATCAACTGATGAGTAGCGCCGAGCCTTACACACCTCTTGATTGGGCCCGTCTGACAACCTCCTCGCTGCATGGGGTAGTTTTCTGCATGGGAAATGTCAGTCTACCGCTATTGCCCTAGATGCATTCCTATGGCCTTTGCCCTGGCTCACAGGGCGTCGCTGTGTGTTTCGTCTTATAGTCGTTATCCCCAGATTACCCGACACGTCTAGTTGTACTCCGCCTGTGACGAGTCTTTGTTTCCCTACACAGCCAGCACCTGTTCCGTTTGGTCTCGCCAGTCATTTCGAGCCAATTCCTTTTCTTAAAAAGTAGAGTGCTGGACATTCATCATGGCAGGACCCGCATTTCAACTCTTTCCTCCACCCCGTGCTCCAAGACAATCGAGCCCAAACAATAAGCCGTTGCCTGTTGTAAAAAGCTCTGTTCCAGAAACTCCGTCAACAGAGAGTGCAAAGGCAACGCAGCCTCCAAGCGACTTCCACGAACTCGTCATTCAAGTCAATCCACCGCCAGCCTCTCCGTCCCTCCAAATGGCATCCCCACCATCAATCCCAGCTCCACCCCAGGCACATTTGCCAAACTCTCAAGCCCCAAGAGTGCCTGCTCCAGTTAGCAGAACACATTTCGAATCGCCTTCACAACGAAGAGCTCCTTCGTTACAGATGGACCGACAAGAGAGTTTCTATCGCCAACAAGATGCCCGCATTGTTTCACCAGTATCGCCCCCACAGAACAACTACATTGACGACCTCCAATACACAACCAGCCCAGATTTAAACCGCGCAGTCTCTCCTGCGTTCTCGGAAGCCCAGACTCTAGTACGAGCGAATAGCTCTGCTACAAGAGTACGATGCGCATCGCCTCAAGAAGAGATACCAATGCGATCAATGTTCCCAGTCTACGATCCTACTGTCCCTCTTTCACGGCAACCGTACCAGCCCACACAAGCATCACCGACGACCCAGATCCCACGGACGCAAATCAGCCGATCGCCATACTCGTCAGAATCGTATGTTCCACACAGCAATGTCCACACAAGCAGTTCGATACCTCCCCCACCACCAAAGCCGTTCTTCACTCCTTCGAATCTGCTGGACAACATGTGGTTAGCAACCAATGGTCAGGAAGAGCCAAGCGTGCAGATCTATACATTGAGAATGCACCGAGCAACGGCAGCGAATCCCACGATTACTTTTGGAACAACGCCTTCTCTCCCATTCTACTCCATGGCACAATCGAACCTCGCTGGCAACCACGAAATACCGAGTATCATGAATGAGGTTCTAATCCAGAGGCACCATCCCACTCAGCCGCGAGTACTGCCCATTGCTCAGCTCGATCTGATCGCACCCCCCTCACTGGATAACGGAACATTCAATCCTGCTCAGCAAGAAGACACAACCCTCCTTACTAGTATATATCCTAAACTCGCTGCTCTCCAAGCACTTGATGCTGCGGCTAATTCGCCGTCCGCTTCTCACCTTGCGTTGTCTGACCCCGGTGCCCAGTCACCAGCTGCACAGAGATTGGCTGAAGGCGTCCTTGCAGAAAGTGCACAGCGTGAATGCTGTGCTCTCGCATGGACGAGGGATCACCCGCAACAGCAGGCAAATCCTTGGGCTCAGCACATACCATCAGAGGGTTCATACCAGCTGCACCACCCAACGCTTGGTAATTTCCCCATATCTATTGAGGGCGATTGTTCTGTCATCAACATGCCGTCGACACGACCTGTAACAGCTTTCTACGGACACAACATGTCCATGACTGCACAAAACATAGCACGAAAGCCCGCTGCTATCACCGTCCTGAATCCATACGTCCTTTCCCCAACAACGCCACGGACCAATGCTTTCTCACCGCTACCGCCTCCACCACGATTCGATGGCGTGATTCGCCCAACTTCCATGACACCATCTGAGATGTCTGTGGGCCAGCTCCCCACAACCACCGACGCTACAGCGGACGACGCCATGCTAGCCCGTCTTGACTTCACTAACGACGCGCTCATCCTCAACTTTGGTGCTCTGACACGATTCGGAAACCCGTTCCTCGTCGACGTGGTAACATCCACACTCCTCGCTGTTGCCGTTGCAGAAGCAACCCGTGGCCGCAAAGCCCGCAACAGGAGCCAAGATAGCTTCGAGCCGCCACCCCCAAGTTTCACCCTGACCCACCAAAAAGAAGACACGGCGAAAGCGTTCAAAGACTCTTTTGTCGAGGGCTTCCAGGGAATCAGTGGTACAAAGACTAAACCCCCGTTCTCTAGCAAGGGACTTAAGAAATTCGCATCAAGCTTGAAGAGCACGACTGGGACACCGCGCAGCGAGAGTACTAGCGGAAGTTTCGACAAAGACATCGAACTTGGAGAGTGGTATGGACAGCAGGACAAGCATACTAAGACCAAGGAAACAAAAGCGGAGAAGAAGGCGAAGAAGGCAAAGGGCTCGCAGGATGATGATAGTAAACTCCCCTTTGTAGCGAGAGTTGTTATCACCGTCTTGACGTTCGCGTTCAAGTCTGTTGTCTTTGTGCTCAAGATCGTGATCAAGGTTGTTGCAGGTGTGGTGGTAATGATCACCAGGAATGTTGGCAAGCTGTGAGCGCGCAAGTATTGCATGAGGCTAGACCTCTTCTTTTTCTTCTTTTTTACAAATTATCTGGGAGGCTTTGGCGTTTAGGATCTCCCTGCATGATACCATTCTTTGCATTCGCTTTTTCTGGTCTTCGAAGACTGGCTAGTATTAGTATCCGAGACGAATTAATTATTTGAGTACCTGAAATCTGTTCATCTCGCGTGCTTACTATTGGTTGTGTGGGTTATGGCTTGGGATGTGCCGTCTTCTATATGTATTGCTCATGTTCACATATAGAAAAGGCATTCGTAATGATGTATCGTGTGCATAATTACAATCGTCTTCGATATTACCAGCAGACATAGTAGAGCCAGACCCTTCAAAGCTCTGTCCCATGGCTACCACTCATCACCACAGTCGCACATCTAGAGTATCATCAACAAAGAAGCTACAGAAATAGACTCTAGAATGGGAAGAAGAACCATAACCTACTCATACACCTGCGTAACACTTACCATCATGAACTCTTCCTTCTCTTCCTTCCCCTCCCTCTTTACCAAGTCTTCCAGGATCTCATCTGCATCGCGAAAAATGAAACCAAAATGACCCTCCCCCTCCTTCACCCGCAACACACAACCTGGTAAATGCTTCTTCGCCCTCTCTACCATCCCAACCGGCGAATTCCTATCATCCTTCCCATGCCAAAGCGTCAACGGCACCTCCCCCTCCCCAACATGCACATGCGCAAGTTCAAACCCCCACTCACTCCCATTAAGCCTGGCCTCCCACCCCACGCCCTCACTCCCCTGATGAAACGACTTCTTGGTCATCGCCACAAACGTTGGCCAAACATTCGGACACCGAATCGCCTTCTGATCCCCCGGATGCCAATTCTCGACCTCTCGTGACAACGCATCTTCGAAAACGTGGGGATCTTCATTCCGACTCGGCTTGCCCATCTTATTATCAAACAGTGCGGCGGTAAGACTCGTCATCCACGGCGCTATCCAGAGTACGATTCGCGAAGGTAGTATCATACCGGATGTACCTAGCTTGACGGGGTACAGCCCACCCACTATACTCGCGCCGAGCAGCCTCTCTTTCGGAATCTCTTTTATACACGCCAGTGCGTACGGCGCGCCCTCCGCTACACCTAGCACGTAGAACTGATGGATTTTAAGGTGTTCGGTCAGAGCGAGGATGTCGGCTGGGAAGTCGAGTATGCGGCGGTTATGCTGGAAAGTCGAGAGACCGGTACCCGGCCGGTCGGGCGCAATAAGCCTGATGTTGTGTGTTGCGCAGCTGGAGTGCCAGAGCTTGCCTTCGTAGCGCGACGAGGGGTAGCCGTGCAGGTAGATGATGGTGCGTTGGGGCACAGGACTGCCGTAGATGGCGTAGGAGAGCTTGCGCCCGTCTGGGAGTTTTAGGGACTCGTTTTCTTGCTGCATTGTAGTGATCATGAAGGCAACAGTAAAAGAAATGCGATTAAGCTATAGCTATACATTGTGAATTTTGGGGGGGAGGGGGGAGGCAAATATCGCTCTTTTACTTATTTTACTACGCGGCGATCAAAGGGTCCAGCAGTAAGTCAGGGTGCGCGGGCAGTGCCTTCTGCAGGGACGCAAGGTGACGCATGGTTGGGGGATCGCCTCGTTTGATATACGATCGACGATAGTGCGCCCCTGGCTGTGGGTAAGAAAGCGGGGTATAAAAATGGGAATATCAAAGTGTGGATTGGGGGGGGGGAGGAGCATGTGGCTCGGTAAAGCGAGACACAAAGTAGCGCTATGGCTGGGAAGAGCTAAGATCTCCATGCTTGCTGTTGGCTAGCTCTTACTTCACATGCGTTTGTCTGGCGACACGCATGTCTAGATTTGCGAGCTTTGTGGGGAGGGGGGGTTTGCGTCTTACACGAGATTGGGGGCGTTTGCGGTGTGGAGTTCCCTGAATATGCCGCACACTGCTTCTGGATGGGCGATGGCATCATTGTGAGCGGAAATGGATAGTACGGGGTTGGGTAACGTATGGTTAAATGACTCGTTTTATGCAAATCCCGCAGAATGCCGGAGTTTATTCCAGCCTCGATCGCTTTAAGAGATGGCTTTTTCCTGGCTTCCGTCACCATCGTGCTTCGTTGAGGATGCGTGTTTTGTATCTCGTCACACAAATTTGCTGCGAGAGGTGCAGAATACTTCCGGGTGCTTGGGAATCGTCTGGACACTGCAGTGTCGCAGCAACTGTGGTCAGATGGGATTTGACAGAGCATTCCAGATGACCCGTCACGTCATCTTGCAATCCTTCGCTCTTATCTCACTCTTATTTGCAAAAGCTCTTTAATAGTGAATGGGCCACCTAACATCGTTCTTGGATTCCCAATCTGGGTAGCCAAAGATTAGCAGCCACTGCTTACTATAAAACTCTCTCACTGTCTGGATTTGCGTCTTTCGTAATGGCTGTACATCACACATGATGGCGGTACAGATAGCGTATCTGCCAAACTTAGGATCCATTATCGGTAGTGAATAGATCACTAGATCCTTCCTGTATTGAATTTTCTAGTCGAATACAGTTCTATACAGTCTTCTTTATAGTGAACTTTTCAAAGAATATATCATTGAAATGACCCTCGCTGTCGATCTCTTTCTGGCTCGACTCCCATGCATCTTCAAACATCAGTACACGGTCTGGATCTCGAGGCTCAATGTTACATCTAAAATCATTAGTTAAATCCAGTGGGTCTAAATCGAGGGAATAGAAACTGGAATAGTTTTGGTCCCGTGACTAAGGCCGGGATTATGGCATCTCGGTCGATTGGTATTGGCTTCCCAGCAGCGTCCAGTTTAGGTTGAATCCTAAAGGCCCACAAAATACGAGCCATGCCAATGAACAGGGTACGTTGGGCAATATGGAAACCGGGGCATATACGTCGGCCCACACCGAAAGTCGTATGAGGCCTTTTTGTTGTGTCTGGATTAATGCCAAACACTTCGTTTAAAGTTTCGTCCGCTTGGTGGCGGCTAGGGTCAAACTCCCTAGGATTTTTCCATCGATTTTCTGCATGATTGACGGTCCCAATCTTTTCATATCAGCTTACAAGGAGTCTTGAAATACAAGAGTAAACTTACGCAATTCACTATCGCAGCTCCAGCAGGTAGAAAGTAGCCTTCATATGATTCGTCCTTCGACAAAGCATGAGGCATAGGTGGACCAATCAGTGTTACTGGTAGCCCTATAGCACATCATCAGTTAGAAAATCACGGGATCAAAGCTATAGAGCACATACATCTCAGGTTCTCTTCTAGTACAGCGCGCATATATGGCAAATGCTCTCGATCCGACCATGTAGGCATTCGTTTGGAGCCGATAACCCGATCAATCTCTTCTTGAGCTTTGGCTTGCACATCTGGATACAGGGCCATTGCCTTTGGAAGTTATGGTCAGCTATCTTTACAACCGCATGCAAGGTATGAGATTACCTTAACAAATGCTGCTGGTGTATTCACTTGTGTGTCTCTATAAAAATTAGGTCAGTTTCTATATACTTTCATCCTTGTTACTATATGAGACATATGTAGCAGCAGCGTATGCATGTCCTGCACTAAACAAAATTTCTTTTTCTGTTAGTCGGTCTTTCTCATTTGCAGCCCTGTCTTGAAGGTCGCGAACAAAGCCTAGACACGTACCAGAATACAAAATATCCAGATGAGCTTGACCAAAGGACTTCTTACTTGCGTTCGGATTTCCGGAATCTATCAGGACTCTCGCTACAGTAGTATGGTGGATCCACATCTGTGTCTCCATTTCTTCCAGCTCTTCAACCTTGCGCTTAATGGGATTAAGGGCTTTAGGCAGAACATGAAATAAGGGGCGGAGGATAGGATACCAATCAGCCAGCTGTAGCTTCCCACTTAGTGCGGTTGTCCTATCAAACCACTGTTTACAATATGAGCAGTCTTTCATTGATTCAACAACCCAAAGTTTGGTCTAACCTCGATTAATGTCTTGATTCCTGAATCATCGGCTGAAGGGATCCTTCGCCCGTAAACTATAGCTGATGCGATGCTGGTAGCATAGTGTGTTACAAGGCCTTGAAAATTATCTGGCTCAGATTTCAATTTATGAAGAAGGTGTAAACTTTCAAACTCCTGTCCAGATATTAGAAGACTGCCATTTCTTTCCCCAGAGAATTATAATTACCTGGTAAGGTATGTAGTTATTTGCACCTCCCAAATTGATCCGCGTGGCATACATCTTCTGCTATTTTTTCCAAATTCCATAATTGCTATACTGTTAGTACAATGCTTCTGAAACCCTTGCAAGATGGACCCACTCTCGAAAAGCTATGTTAAGATTATCACTGAAAGTACGGATAAACATGTCTACCTTGAGAGAGCTAGTAGCACTTCGCTTTTCCATAAGTTCTTTGACTACTTCGTCTGAGCCACAAAGAATCATTGTCTGGGTACCCATTTTGAGCGACACGAGAGGTCCATCTGATTTATTGATTAGCGCAGATATTCTTCCAACTTCATTGATGTTTCTTTCACCCACATTTTCTTGTCGATTCTTGAAATTTCAAATGTAAATCCTTTCGGGGAAACTGATGAAGGTTGCCTAGTATAGGAATTGTCGGTGGGCCTGGTGATGATCAGCACTACTATTTGAAAACCAATGGGCTTGCCCGGTACACACCAGGAGGGTAACCGTTCGGCCTACTCCCAACTTTAAGCAACTTGATAGTGAAGATTCCAAACACAATGCATCCGACAAACCACATCCAATTCTTTACTATAACATTCTCATTGTCAGATGATTCGTAAACTTGATTTTGATTTGTTGCGAAGTTGTGCGTCATGTTGACTTTTACGCGCAGATGTCGCTTCGGGTGTGGAAGACTTGTAGGATAATGTCACGTTGTTTCGAGGGGAGAGCATGTGGGCAATCTTAAGCTGTACCTTTGTAGTAAGCTGGCTGAGACGGCCGAGATAGCGCTCCATAGGCAAATAGTGATGCGTATTCGAAGTGACAAATATCGTTATTACACATAGTTTAGCATGTCACAGACAGTTGTCATAGTTCTGTTTGTCACCGCCAAGCCACCGACAGAACACCAAGCGATAGCTGTTATGCAGTCCCCACCGTCCCCTCCAGTATCGACGACGATCAAGCAGTACTTAGATCGGGGTTCTTTTCTTGAGGATCTTTCGTACTAGGTCATCCGTTCAAGTTGTCGCAAACTTTGCATCGATCAAGATGTTTCGCCTGAAGAAGGAAATGGTGGATGCAGGCACTGTATGGGCTAGGTCTGATCTAAACGAGCCGGGTACCAAGCCTATCGATGTCCTTAGGCCCATAAAAGTGATCATTATTGGAGCAGGAATATCGGGATTGCTTCTTTCCATATTATTACCTCGATTCATCGAGAACATAGAGCTTGTCATTTACGAAAAAAATGCTGATATCGGAGGCACTTGGTTTGAGAATAGGATTTAGGATTACCTCAAGCGAGTCAGCACGGAATATCAAGCGGAGCAGTTCATGAAGTTCAATCACCAAGTACGAAAGGCAGTGTGGGATGATGTGTCAGGGAAATGGTCGGTGTTTTTGGACGATATCCGTAATGGAACGGTAAGCCTCTCCTTCAACCCGAAGAAGGCTGAATCTAACATTCAAGTCATCTAGACTATAACAGACACTGCAGAAGTTCTCATTTCTGCTGTAGGTATTCTGAACGCATGGAAGTGGCCTGAAACTCCAGGACTGTATGACTTCAAGGGAGTTCTAGTGCATTCAGCCGCCTATCCTGAGGATCTTGATCTCCAAGGGAAACGTGTCGCTTTGATTGGCGGTGGCTCCTCTGGTATTCAGATATTGCCACAAATTCAGAAACAGGCAAAAGTTGTCCACCATTACATGAAGGGCCGAACTTGGAACCCAACAGCTGGAATTGGAGGTGAAGGATTAGCCAAGAGGGGAGGAGATCGTAAGTTGAGGGCAGCTGAAAAGCTTCCAACTCAAGGAGGCAAAACTAACATATTAATTCTCAAGCGAAAACGCCTCTCGAAGATCTTGAGCGGCTCAAAAACGACCCCGCAGCTTACCGAGAATATCGTCGAACAGTAGAAGATTTACTGAACCGTCTAGTTGAGGCCTTGTACAAGGACACTGAAGGTGCAAAGCAGCTCTTCGATATCTGTAAAGCGCATATGAAGGAGAAGCTGTCAAAAAAACCCGGAAGTATTCAAAGCTATTGTTCCAGACTTCCCTCCTGGTTGTCGAAGGATTACACCAGGGCCAGGAGTAAGCTTCGTTACTGACCTCTTGAATGGTGCAAAGGACTCCCAACAGCTTTCTGCGCAATTTCAAGTAGGCATTGCGGAGCTCAGTATTCTCATTAATGAGCATCTTATTACGCTCACTTTCTGTCTGAGCAGCTCTCTTAGTTGCTTCTTCCAGATCGTTGACGTAAGCAAGTCTTCTTTCTCGAAAAGAACGCTGCGACAAACGATTACGCTCTCGTCTACACATATATGACTTAGCAATCCTCGCAAAATGAAACACCTCATTGGGACTATTAGGCGACATCAGACGTGGAATATAAGAATAAAACATACCTCTTTTCCGCTTCATCTCTCGATTGTTCAGGGTCATTAGCAATGTTGTAACGACGTCGCTTCCCCTTCGGAGGACGAGTTGCCTGTTGCATTGTCTATGGTAATGATTCGGCACTTAGCCAATGCCAATGCTTTTTATATATGCTGTATAAACATATAGCGCTGATAATCACAAGGGATAGTATGCCCGTTGCAGGACGCGATCCCAATATGAATACATGCGGGGTTAGCGAACCCCCGCGCCCTAATGTTCCGCAAGCGCAGTTACCCCACATCTATCGTTTCCTGCATTCACCGAGAGAGGCGCTATGTAGGCGAAATTCCCGCGACTTCCGCAGAGGCTAGAACCTTACCAAAACTCCACTAAAGGCTTACTCAAGTCAATAAATTCTTGTGAACTCCCTTGTCTTATCAACTTGGAACTTGGAAAGCTAATAGCACACAACAGACATTTGTGAACAAGTGGCTGAGGCACATAGTACTAGTTTAAATTCAATAGCATCTGAACTTCATTTATTGAAAAAAAAAGCATTCGCTTCGACATACTATGGGTAGCCCCCGTTGATCGGCAACACTTGTCCAGTAATGTAAGAGGCGGTATCTCCAAGCAAGAAGGTATACAATCCCATCAGCAATCTCTTCAGGGCGTCCCTGCCTTTTCATAGGCACAAGGTTTTCAGCATGGTCTCGTATACGTTTCCCTTCTTCTGGTCCAACCGCTTTCGCGCGAGCTAGCACGTCTCGAGTCATCGGGGTATCTGTTCCACTTGGTGCAACAAGATTGACACGCACTCCAAAAGGAGCAAAGTCCTCTGACCACACTCTTGTCAGTCCCGCTACAGCATGCTTGCTCGGAGCATATCTACCAAGAGTTGGGAAGCCTTTAAGTGATGCGCTTGAGCCGATCAATACAAGACTTGCTCGATCTGACTTCAATGAGCCATCATCAGACGCCTCTATGCATCTTAAGAGTTCTGTAGCGCAGTTCCAAGTACCAATCAAGTTGACGTCCACTATGTTCTTAAAAGTCTCGTCGCTCTCGATCCGTACTCCGCTTGAAGGGCAGATGCCTGCACTGGTGACTAGTCCGTACACCTCTGGGCTATGCTTGTAAACATTTTGAAATGCCCTTGATACATCCGTCCTAGAAGATATATTCGTCGATCCATGGTAATAAACTTTCTCGCGTTTGAGTATGGGAGGGCATGAAGTAGCCAAGTCAACGGCGTGAACAGTAGCTCCATAGCTAGCCAACTCCAATACGGTACTAAGGCCAATTCCGCTCGCCCCTCCTGTGACTACAAATGCTTTTGAAGCAAAAAATGAAGACATGATGATGTCAATTACTGGAACGGTTGCCGACAGGTTTTCGCAAAATCGATGAGTTTCTTAGGAAGATTGGAGTTTGAATGAGAGGTAGCCAGAAAATGTTGTGTATAGGCATACCGTTCATGAGAAGGTATAGATATTGACTCAACTGCAATGTGATATTATGGGTAATCAAATGGGCTAGGTCGATGACAAATGAAATCATGACAAAGAGAAAGAGATGTGTCAAGAATAACGATATAATCAAGTATCGATGTAGATGAAATAGAATGGCTCCAGAAAACGTACTTGGGTGTGCTTTAGAGCGAGCCAAGGTTACCAAATTGAAAACTTGGACGTGGTAAGTACGTGAGGTATCGCGCAATACTGTGGGTCTTTGTCATCCAAGTGCATGAGAAATACAAGCTAACGCAAGTTCGGTTCTTGACCTCTCCAAATATTTTATGAAATTTCAAAATTATAAGATTGTTTCTACGCATGTGCCTGGTGCTAGGCGAACTTTTAGGCACGTTGTCCACGCTGTGGCTCAGGTGAGTGGTTAAATACCTGTGCCAGCGTGGGGAAACTCACTCAATGTAAAGCACTGATTTTCAAACTCTAAGCTATCTACTCTGTATGTACTATATCGAAACGATGTCTGATATAGTTGGAAAACAAAGTGAGGTAACACTTATATGTGGTAGACGCATCCATAGACAAAACTTTGCGAAAGTCGATAATGTTGTTTTTGTCCTAAACTGATATCAAGCTTTGCGCAAACTAACCAATTCATATAGGGACAGGTTATTTCCTTTGATCAATTCAATGCACAAAACTTAGCGTACGTCCATAATTTAAGCATTGAGTATTGTTTAAAAGTGCGAACGAATGCATCGGATCGCACCATACATCTAAGACATCTCAGATAAGGCCCTATATACAGATTTTTCCGAATCGTTGCGCAAAGTCAACACATTTAGCGTCTCCGTTAGGAAGTAATTGCATGAAAATAGTAGCAGCGACTCCTGATTCTCGGTCAATCCATTAAAACCTCGTTAGCTTGAACTTTTAGGAATCGCAAATTGCAATACGAATCACTGAAATTGAAAGCAAAAAAGCTTACCCAAAACAGATTGGGCATGCCTGACCACTGTAATGTCCCGGATTTCCTGCGCCCGGGAAAATCGCTAACATTGATCAGACCAGCTAAGCCGTGATGTACTGTTTCGGATGCTGGAATCAATGGCCCCAAAGCGGGTTTGTACGGTCCTTGTATCGTAGAATTCAGTGCATTGGTATTCGTTTCCTGGGGCGTGAAGATCTCGTCTACCAACTCTTGGCCCAAAACTAGAGACCCACCATCAAGAAGGGCACCGAGCAGCTTTGCATAGTTACTCACGGTGCTCCATATTTCATGGCCGGCAATCTCACGTTCAGGCTCGAGCGGTACTGGAAACGCTTGAGGCTGCAGCATGCCGTTCTCATTCCGACTATAGGTTGGGATCATGTCATTTTCGGAACTTGATCGGATGGTAAGTAGTCCTGGTCATTCCTAGCAGGTCCCAGATATTCGTTCGATAGTACTCTTCCAGACTCATTTCACCAAGTCGAGCAACCTAATAAATTGAGGGGTCAGTGATTGTTATTGAACATGAAGAGCGAGTGCTGACTAACTAATTCACCAGCCCAGTCAATTCCTGCACCATATGAACAGCTAGAGCCAGGCTCAAAGGCAAGAGGGCATTTCTTCATCGATATCTAGGCTTCAGATTTAGTATTAATAGATTTTAGCGGGCATAAGTGTTTTGTACAACTTACCTGTGTCGAGTCCAGAGTAGTATTACTTAAGCCTGTATTTACGGCCCATCTGGCAACGCTACTAGGCATAGTTTCGTAGCCAACTCCACTCTGATGGGACAATAAAAGTCCAATCCAAAGCATCACTCATTGCCACAACACCTAAATTTGGGGAACAAAGAACGGTGTTTCCTACCTCAGAGTAATCTTCGTTTTCCTCGGCTTAGTTGTCGGAATGCCATCGATAGGTTCCCCACCGTCTAATACCTCCAAGGAAGCGAGGTCCGGAAGAGTTTCAGTAACGTCGTCATCAAGGCCGATAAGACCCTTTTCAACCATCTGCAAAGCTGCCACAGTAGTTATGAGTTTGGATTAGGATGCTAGCCAGCAAACAGAGTCCACTGTGGGTAGCTTGGCACCTGGTAAACTACTACTGGAACACTTCCAGAGGATCTTTCCTAATGGTTGATGTTAGCCTTTTGTACTGATTGAATAGAGTTTTCAATGCTAGCACAGCACGATGTATACCACTGCGTCCCACTACAACACCAGCGATGTATGGCGCGACATAATCGGGGCATGTTGTATCAGTGCCTCGGTTGAGCAGATTAGAGAGCGAATCCATGTGGATAGCACCCAAGAAAAGTTCTTCGGGTAAGAGGTTGGCTAGAATGAATGATTCAATTGCTTAGTATGGATGCCAAAGATAATACCTTTATCGTGGACTGCATACCTCAACCAAATAGAGAAAGCTATCAAAAACATGCATGCACAGTGAGACCTGCAATCCAAAGAAAACGCATGATTAGCTACATACGAATGACTCACTTTCTACATTCTAAGCTAGTACAAATAGATAGACGACCAATAATTTTGTTAGCCATTGGTTACAAGTGGCATCGGAGGTATGCGGACACTAGGCCTCTTTAGTTGTACTGTTTGTCCGCCTATCACTATTACCAATCTCATTGAATATGTTCTCTTGCAACTCACTGTTTATGAGAGATTCTTGACAGATTAACCGAAACGGCGTCTCCTCGAGTTATTCTCGTCTCTTGGAGTGACATAAGAAATAACTGACAGTCAAGAATATTAGGCTGATTCTTGTCTTCGCCTAAACGCATTTGTGTTAATAAAAATAGAACAGCACAAATATACGAGGTGCATTATACTGTGACAAGGTTAAAGCAGAGAGACTTCTCTGCCGAGGTATATGCTGGTAGGTTCTCCTCAGTGTAGCATTCTACATGACATGAGAACTTCCGAACATAGCCGAAATAGTATAAAGCGTCCTGTCAAGTACTAGACGACTTAAGTTGGAGTCTTCCTTGTACGTACTTGCTTACTCAATATTTTCGAAAATCAATATCATGAAAGCGTTCCGATTTGAAACCGTCGATCAAGGCCTATGCTTGCAACAAGTGCCCCCTCCGAGTCCCTCACCCGGAGAGGTGGTAGTCCGTGTTGAGGCCGCCGGTATCTGTCACTCTGATTTGCATGTACTACACGGTCAGGGAAGTGGCTGGATGTCTAAGTTGCCAATCACACTCGGACATGAGGTTGCGGGTATAGTGGAAGAGGTTGGACCGGATGTGGTCGGGTTCAAGATCGGTGATCGAGTTGGGGTGGCTCTTCTTCCTAAAGATGCCGATTTGACAAATGTCATTGGTATTGGTAGAGACGGCGGGTTTGCAGAAAAGGTCCTAGTACCCGCTACACTCCTAGTACCGCTTCCTGAGAAAGTCAGCTTTGCTGAGGCTGCTGTCGCGAATGACTCCATTCCAACTGCCTAACACGCTGTCATCACGGAAGCGGCTATAACTGGATCTACAACGGTGGCGATTGTCGGACTCGGAGGGCTAGGACTGAGTGGGGTCGGCATAGCTTCAATCGAAGGCGCTACAGTATTGGGTGTGGATATCGATGACAAAAAGTTTGCTGATGCTACTGCCTTTGGCGCAAAAGCATGCTTCAAGAAACTCGACGATATCCCTTCTGAAGTCATCATAGATGTTGTAGTCGACTTTGCTGGGGTTGGAACAACAACTCAGGATGCTTTGCGAAGATTCCGATCATCTGGGATGGTAGTATTAGTTGGATTCGGGGTGCCAACCTTCGAATTATCTACCAATACCTTGATGTCGCGCAATCTCACCCTTCGTGGATTGGTAGGGTCTACAATGGCTGAATATCGCAAGGTACTAGATTTGATTGCTTCTGGGCTAATCAAGCCCAAGTTGGAGGAGATTCCTTTTCTTGAAATACCTAACGGTCTTCGGAGGCTTGAGCGCCTTGAGGTAGTTGGTCGACTTTTTTCAAGACCAAACGCATAAATAAGCACTGAAAGTGCCGCTTAAATAACAATTTAGTAGTTTGCTACATATACAGAACCTCCAACCCCAACTAAAGCGTCCTCAAAAGCGCCCTAATAAACCCCTCCTCCTTCGCCTTCTCCTTGGGAAAAATCCTTCCATCAGTCGTATACTTCCTAAACGCCGTGTAACTCTTGAACCGTATCACCGGCGTCCCCATATTGCGATGATCAATCAGATTCACCAAGTTAACCAGTACATTCCTGCTTCCGAGAACCTGTGAATACCGCATTAGCCCAAATACCCACCACAAATAGCTCGTATCTTCTTGAGAGAGCGACGAAGGTTGACGTACCGCTTTGCACTGCCTAATACTCCCCGGCACCTCATCAATAAGCACCTCGCGACAAAGCGCCTGCCACGACTCCAACTTCGATATATCTTTCCCATACGCAGCATCGAACTCCGCGGCTTGGCATTGGTGCCAGCGCTTGTGTCTGAGTTTGTTACCCCAGTTTCGCATGTTGGCGAGGCGCTCGAAGTTGGATTTTAGACCCGCAGTGGGATCGTAGGCGAAGGGGGCGAATTGCGAGAACCAGGTGCCGCCGGGGTTGGATTTGTGCGGGCCTGGAGAGGGGGTGGGGGAGGGAGTGGCTTGGGATGGTTTAGTTGGGATTCTGGGGTCGTAGGGTGGTAATACTCACGAAGCTGGCGGGGACGCTGAGGGGCCATGGTGAAGTGCGGTGTCGGTACACTACTAGTCTCGTGAGTACAGAGATTGTGCTACTTTGAGAGTTGCTGGATGATAAAAGGATTACATTGATTCTATATGCAGTTGATATAGAAGTTACTTTCACAGCCTGGGGCAACAAACAAATCCATCGTATGCGGCGCGGAGGCTACGTGCATGACGCCGCAGCGGCAACAAACCACCATAAAGAAAAAGCCCCTTGTATCGCTGTAGCCTAATGCTATTTGTGAGCTGTTAGAGGGCGAGAAGTCAACAGTCCTGAGGCATTGCTATCTAATAAGTGCTGGGCGCATTGAGCGGATGACGCACGGTGGTATCACCGTGCCACACACATGCATGCAAGGCAGACTTGGGGCAGTGCAAACATTGGGTGGGATGGAATTTGGCCAATTGCTGCCTGGACCTGTATTGGGGTGCCAGTGGTCATTGTCAATTGTTTGAAAGGACTGGTTCGCAAGCTATGACACGGTAGTACCGAGCAGGACGTGCCGTCCCGTAGTAGTGTGTACGCCACTGCATGAGACAGCCACAATCCTAAAACATATTGCCTAGCGCTGAGTCCGATTCTAGACACGTTTTTCATGCGATTGAAACACTGAATTCAGAGAGGGAGAAGGAAATGTGTCGTCCTTCGCTACATTGAGAGAATACCTTCATGCGTCCTGTCGTGGTGTGAAGAACTGCTTCGACACCACAACGGCAACAAGAGCCTTTCCATCCAGCTAGGCTACCTACATTGTTATCAATTGGAGTTTTCTTACCGACATGGAGAATCGCATTACCAAACTCGCGACAGTCCTTTTCACCTCGGCCAATACCCTTGAAAGAGCAGTGGGTGCACGCCACAGCATTCAGAGGGTGCGACGTCTCAGCCAGTTTCCAGTCGTAACGATTGAAAGTAGTAGACATTATTGAATTAAAATATGATTCTTGCTTATTCTCATAATGAATTCAACACAGAGGTGAGAGAGATGCAATTTCGGTCTTCCCGTCATGTATATTCGATGCCCAAATGACAAATCACATGCTCCGAACTCCAACATGGCCCTGAATGATCGTGATGGTTACAGCCTGCAAAGCAGTGACTTGAAGCATCCGCCACCCGCTTTCGCAGCATCCCTCGGGAAACACCCGCTCTTGCGGATGCTCTTCCGTAGCTTACTGAGAGACTCGTACTGAACGATCTTGATCTTTGGATTTCGCTTGTTATCAATGACGGTAAAGAGATTGATCTTCAAAGGATCAAGGACCTATCTGCTATTAGTACTCTGCTTCTTTGTGCCTAGGTAGAATTCAAAAACGAACCTTCTTGCATTGTGTAACTGTACCCGGAATGTGAGTAAGACCAAGATCACGACACATTTCTTGGTACTGCTCAAGCTTATCTTCACCAGTACCCCAGTAAAAAGCAACTTCCGAGCTAAGCAAATAAACGAACTGTTGTCTCTTCACATTTCCGGCCCAGTTTTTGATGTGTGCGAGACGTTCGAACTCAGATTTGAAATGCGCAGTTGGCGAGTGCACGAAGTTGGTGAATTCCGCCCAAGCAGGATTGCTGCCTGCTTTGCATCTGGAACTGCTCAGTGGGGGCTTCCTTTCTGATTCGATCGGTTCCTTGTATTCGTTTGTTTCGGAGACCGATGCCGGGTTGAGTGAAACTGGAACATCGACAACCGCACCTAGGTCTTCAAAAGACTCCTGGCTGTCGAACGACCTTACGCTATCAAATGAATCTGCCCTGGAAATGACCGAGAATGATGAGGTGTCGGATACGATTGAGAGCCTGCGCATCCTATCTTCGAGATGGATTCCGCCGTCTTGCAAGGCTGCAGCCTTATCTCCACGTGCTAACCGACCTGTATCATAAGTCAGCAACACACTTCATATATGATACCCGATAGAATCGCATTGGACGCTTCAAGTGTATGGTGAAACGAGAAGACTTACGACACTGGCCATACGGATACTCCTCTTTGAAACACTCTTTCCAGCGCGAACGCCATGTCTCATTGCCGCCCTCCCACCCCTTTGCTTTAGCCAGACGCGCAAACTCGGCTTTTGGTGAATTGGAAGCATCAACAACGTGGCCGATATCCCTAGACCAGGCTCGTATCAGCTCCATCTGAGTGCCAGAGGCCATCTTCTTTACACGTGGAGGCTCTTTGAGCAAAGGAGAAGTTGATTGACGTCGCAGTTCGGGGCCGGAAGTGTTGGGAACTGAGGGGTTGGGAAAAGCAAAGTCAAGTCGATACTGTTGTCTGGATATGTTGGAGATAGCTGGGAAGGCGGGGCAGGAGTTGTTAGCTTTAATACGCGCTCACACGTGGTTGCGAGTGTACATAATCCTGATGCGGTTAGTGGCGTCAGCTTGAGCCAGGGTCCATATACACCGAGCGATAGAGCAGGTTGCGATCTGTGATATGAGCACTTTGTGCTAATGGCTTATCATTACTATTCTAACATGGGCTATCCAGGTACTCTTCTGTCTATTACCATGCTGATATTGGCAATTTTTGTGGAAGCGAAGTTATCCGCCACGGCCCGATAACCAATACAGGTGTACACGACATAAGCCGCTAAGCCCAGATCCATTCCCCCGAGCTACATTTCGCGAACCAAACAATCTCAAAAAAGCACTTCCAAGTTCCCTAGCGTGACTTCCTAACCGACTGCTTCCTCGGCTGTGTGGACTTCTGGATACGGCTACTTGTACGCTTTTTGCTGCTGCCCATGCTAGTCACGTCTCCTAAGTCCCCGGCGTGATCTACAAGCTGTATGGTCTCAAGAGCCTTACGCCGATGTGCTGCTGCGCGTGTTCGTCCCAGGCTGTCTACATGTACATCGAGCCTTGGATCACTCTTGGTCGCGTTTGTAGAGTTGGGAGGAACTTCATGGTGGTTCTCGTCACCCATTTGTCTGGGTTCATCGCCGTTATTGCCCTGTTCCTCTTCTTCACCAACAGTTCCACTAGCGTAGGCGTCAACCATTTCGTGATCCTCTTCAGCTACCGTTTTGCGTGTACCATCATTTACATCTTCGTAAATGTCGAATACGAGTTCAGAGTGATCTCTCGCTGCAGCTGCCATTGCAGCCTCCTCGTAAGCACGCGCTACCGTGATAGGAAGAGGAATGATTGGGAAGCCTTCTGGTTGCCGGAGCTGAAGCTCATTTTCGCCGTATTGGGCCTTGGCGGCACCAAAGTCGTATTTGGTATTGCGTAGCTCAGGCATCTGGATTTTCCTGCTAACGCGTGAGTTTTGTAAACTTGTATGCTCAGAAAAATGCTTACTTGGCTGAGAACTGGCCACTGGATGTGACAACTGGATCAGAGAGCACAGTGCCTGAGTCGATCCGAGGCTCTTTGCGCAGCACCTCTGCTAGTATGCGATGACCAGACATAGTTTAGGTCTTGGTAAATGAGAAGATGTGATGTTCTGGTGACGCAGAGTGTGTTTTCGTTGAGGTGGGTGTGGTTGAGGACTGTACTTGCTCTGTACGCAGCACACAAAAGCACGATTGTGCGAGCTTGGACTAGCGTCTCAAGGTGGAAGTGAAAATGAATGACACTTTTCGTGTGAGTGTTGAAGGTATTAAAGCAAGTTTGATGAATGTTGCAGTTAAATGATGAAAGTATCTTTGTGATGTTCCAGGGTAACAGAATGAAGTTGCTGCAAGGCCCAATTGTCAAGATCCGCACGTCGGCCAATCCTTCCCATGATAGCTTGGTGTGGAAAGAGCCAGTCGATATACGAATGAGGGTGGTCCCGGGCGATGACTACGAACAAACTGCTATCATACTGTTGCGGTGTGTTGCATAGAAAACTTCGAGCGCTAGATGCAGTATATGGTTGCAACACTTGTTCGCTCGCCAGTTCACAGGAGGGGTCTCGGCTCTCCGGGTTCCGTCGGAACAGTTTGGCACTTCAGTACTGTGATATATTCGACCACAAGTTGCGATGATAGAAGTTGACGCTGAATCTTGAGTGCAAGAGATTCGTAACGCAGTGTAAGTACAGTACAAACGACATTTGTCCCCTGTTCGGATGACGCATCTTGTATGTAGATCTTAACCGTAAACGGCAAGCTTATTGGATGAAGCAAGATCCGTCGTTATTATTATGGGCGAAGAGGTCTTCGCACGTGTTTACATTGATCTATTGTATAGAAGAAGAAAGATCCAGAAACAGATGTACTGTAAGATAGCTGCTACTCATACTTTTGTTTAACGTGTTCCACCAGTAAGCGGCCCACCCCAGTAAGTGGCCCACCC